GTTCCCTTGGGGGTGTGGCCTGCATCTGAACATAAGCAGACGTTCTGGCTTTTTGCTCACTCTGGATCCTGCGGCTGCCTCCTGTCATCTCATCTTCGGTTCTTGGGACTTGAGCTGTCAGCTTATCTGCTGAACTTGGGATTCGTTGATTTTCACAGCCTGTGAGCAGGAGCCCTGGTCTCTGACCTGCTGATCTTGGGCTCGCCAGCTTCTGTGGCTGCGTGATGTGGGAGAGGCCTCTACCCTGATCCATGGACTTGGGACGTTCTAGCCTCTACAACTGCATGAGCTGTTTCCTTGATATAAATCTCTCTATATATGTTTATTGGTTTTACTGGTTTTGCTTCTCTAGAGAACCCAGCCTAAGACATTTGGTACCGAGAGTGGTTCTAGAGAAACAAAACTGTAAGGATGGGTTTTCTAAATTGGTTCTCAAGTCTGCTTAGTCTTAAAGAGGTTGATGACTCTGCTTCCAGCAGTAAAGAGGGCACTGCTAGTCCATGGAGTGAGGTGGCGGTACAAACACGCAAAATATCACAACCAGTAGATCAGGTATTGGTGAAAGGCGAGGCTCAGGGTGAACACGTGTGATATCTTTCTACGGCTTTGTCAGAATGAGAAGTATAAGGAAGCTGGTTGGTTTGTCCTACTTTAGCTAGACAAACTGGTGAAAGAAAGAGATGCGCTCAGGGCTTCAGAGTCAAAGCTCAAGTGCCGCATACATGACCTCAAGGCTTCCACTTGTGCTTAGAAAGAAAGCCTTATTGTAGTAACGGAGCTGAAATTGCCTAAAACCAAACCCAGAGTCTTATTGTAAGAGTGGCTGAATTACAACGCCAGCTCAATTGCCAACATCTAGAGGTGTCTGAAGTTAAAGTAAGGGCACTGATTGGGGAGAAATGAGATCCTGAAACTTGGGATGGGGACATATGGGCAGATAATCAGGAAGCTGGGGACACTGAGCCTCTAAATTCTGTTGAATCACTCTTGCCAGCAGAACCAGTCCCATCTGAAGAGATAACTTCATGTTTGTCTGCTAAACCACCCTGCCCAGAAAAACCATTAGCCCCTCCACTGCCGTCTAATGAGATTAGCCCTAGCCCAGCTGCCTCTAAAGAGCCCTTGCCTGAGTCATTGCCTGGAGCATCACCTGAGGCAGATGCTTTACAAGACAATGCTGAATGTTCTCAAAACAATTCTACACTACTGATTCTGACTTCTAGACCTATAACTAGGCTTAAGTCCCAGTGAGCCCCAGAAGGTGAAGTACAACGTGTGACCCAGGAGGAGGTACGCTACACTCCAAAAGAACTGCTTTTCTAGTATGTACGAAAAGAAAGCTGGGGAATATGTGTGAGAATGGCTATTAAGGGTGTGGGATGATGGTGCAAAGAACATTAAGATGAACTGAGTTTATTGCTATGGATCCACTAAGCACAGATGTTCATTCAGTGTTTCAGCTAGAGAAGTTAGGAAAGGATCTAATAGTTTATTTGGCTGGGTTGCTGAAGCATGGATTACGAGGTGGCCTACACTGAATCAAGTTGAAGCACCAGACCTGCCTTGGTATACTGTAGAAGAAGGAATCCAAAGGCTTAGGGAAATTGGCATGCTAGAGTGGATTTATCAAGTTAGACCTACAGACCCATACGTGGAGTGTTCAGAGGACGCACCTTTTACCACAACTGTGAGGAACAAATTTGTGAAGGGAGCTCCAGTATCCTTGAAGATTGCTGTGATTGCTATTTTATGTAAGTCAGATTTGACTGTGGGAACTGCCCTAACAAGACACCTAACTACAATGGGGCTGATGGGACCCCGTGGTAGTAGGGGCCAAGTGGCTACACTCAGTCAACAAAGACAAGGTGGGCATGGTTACAGTAATGGACAAAGGAGTCAAAGCAGTAATCAGAATAGTCTGACTCGTATGGACTTATGGCGTTGGCTACTTAGTCATGGCGTCCCTAGGAGTGAAATAGGAAATCTACTAAATATTTACTTCATCTATACAAATGGATGAATTCTAGGTCAGGTGAACAGTGGTCTAACTCCAATCGCCAGAATAGAGAGTCACAGGCCCTCAGTCAATACCCAGATTTGAGCAAGTTTAAAGACCCACAACCCCTTGAATGAAGGGGAGGCCGGGTCCCCTTGAGGAAGGACTCCAATACACTGCCAAAGATTTTTACTGTTAATCTTTCTCCCAGCCTTCCCCAAAGGGATCTATGGCCTTTTACGAGAGTGACTGTTCACTGGGGAAATGAAATAATCAGACTTTCTGGGGATTACTGGATACTGACTCTGAACTGACACTAATTCCAGGAGACCCAAAATGTCACTGTGGCCC